GCGGACGGGGGGAGCGGGGGGCGACGGATGGCTCGGATACGCAGCGGATGACGGCACGGGCAAGGGAGACTCACCATGATGAAGTTTGGTCTTCAAGCAGCCAGGGAGGAAAAGAGAGCCACTCTTCCTCGGCCAATCATATCAACGCGTACGGAAGGACCCCGGCGGCGCCGGCGTGGGGGCGTGGCCGGACCGCGAGGCTGACCGCGCCAATGCCGGATTGAAAGTGCCTAAGGCCCCGCCTCATCCATCTTTGGCCACACCCAGAATTCTGATCTAACCAATCAGGAGGTGGAACAGTTCTGCGCTAACTAGGTTTACGTAAGCACGTGTTCAATTTCAGTGCGATTCACTACTATGTGAATTACCCCTACTTAAAATTTCTGTAAACCAAGTTATAGTTTAAATGCACTCCAGCCAAGGATAAATACCATGTTATTTCACATATATGTGGAATCTAATAAACAAACAAATTTGAAACATACTCATGAACACAGAGAGCCGGCTGGTGGTTGCCAAAGGGGAGGGGTTGGCGGACTGAGTAAAAGAGGTGAAGGGGTTAAGAAGTACAAATTGATAGTTACAAAATAGGGAATGTAAAGCATAGGTAATATAGTTAATATTATTACAATAACTATGTATGGTGCCTGTTGAGTACTGGAAATACTGGGGTGTGGAAACTAACCACTAAACCGCACACCTGAAACTAATCTATAATAATCTATAATAATAAAAGGGTAATATGCTAATTAGACCAGATGTCCTTCTGGATGTCCTTCTATACGAAGTCGAAGTCGGGGCCAGAGGGAAGACAGCCAGGTCCCAGGTGCCAGAGAGAAGCTGATGCCGGCAGCCCGGGGAAGGAAGGCCTACTCTTGCACAAATTTCATGCATTGGGCCTCTAGTATAAAATAATAGCTAATGTCAACTGTAATTGAAAAATAAACAAAAAGAAAAAATCACATCCAGCCGAGTTTCGAGTTGGTAAAGCTGGAAGACGTTGTATGTCAGTCTCCTTATTTTATAAAGAAACTGAAGAAACCCTGACTCAAAACCTTTGCTATTTCAAGTGCTCAAACTGTTTTGATTTGATTTGTTGCTAATTAGCATTTTTGTGAGATTCTCTGTTGATGTTCTTCCTCCCCCCCCCTCTCTCTGCCATCTGTTGATGTTCTTATTAAAAATAAATAACTCTTTTTCTGTAAATCTTAGTTCTTACAAAAAATGAGCTTTTAATGAGTACTTGCTTGATTCAGAAATTTAGTTATTCAAAGTGAAAGAGACATGTAAAGATAAAGAATATACGTGTGGATATTCAAAGAGAGGCATTAGGAAAGAACTTCCCAAAGGTTAGTGCAGACCAGAAGACCAGGATGTAGGCTTTGAGGGTAGCTTTCCTGTATGCTTCAGAATAATAAAAATAGTTAATATTCATTGAATGATTGCCTGTTACATTCTAATTACTTTTACCGTCATTATACCACTTAACCATCCTACCAACCCTAAAATTAGGGCACTGTGGGGTCAATCAAAGACATAGCCCAATTCCCCCTCCAGTCAGTGGAACAGTGTCCGCCTGGCCAGTGGCCACAAGAAGCAGATCAGCACAGACCCCAGGGCCTTGCCTGGACCCTGACAGCTAAAAACCTCACCAGACTCTGTCTTTGTCCTGACGGTACGCAGGGTGTTCCCCTACCTTCTAGTTAAGGCCCTATCCAACCCTGACCGAGACCAGAAACTCACTCCCCTGGCAGCCATGGGGTCTTCCTCATTGTGTAAGTAATAAAGTCCATGTCTTGCCCTGGCTGGTTTGGCTCAGTGGGTAGAGCATCAGCCTGCGGGCTTAAGGGTCCCAGGTTTGATTTCGGTCAGGGGCACATGCCTGGGTTGCGGGCTCGGTCAGACGTGCAGGAGGCAGCCAATCAATGATTCCCTCTCATCATAGATGTTTCTCTCTCTCTTCCTCTCCCTTCCTCTCTGAAATCAATGGGGGTATATTAAAAAATAATAAATTTAAAAAAAAAATAAAGGCCATGTCTTTCCTCTCTGGTCCCCTCATGGTTTTGTCAACTAGCAAAGAACAGTGTGGCACTCCTGGGATTGGAGCTTCTATGTTACAGGTACCTATTCTACCCTTTTTATAAATGGGTAAGTGACTGAGACACTATAAGGTTACATAACTTTCCTGAAGTCACACAGTTTGGAGGCCCTGTGGTTCCAGAACCTTTGCCCTTACCCTCCAGTCACTCATCAAATCTTGTTGGTATAGGATTGTCAACATTACTTCAAAGATACAATGAGCGATTAACTGCTGAAATCGGTTAGGAACATCTGGTTTGCTTTTTGTCTGCCACATTATTGTTTTACTAGTGAGGATTCATGGAGTCTGAAATTTAGATAGCATTCCTTCATAAAATGTAAAGATTGTTGATCCACTTTATAACAGTTTCTCAAAGTAGTAAAGAAATTTCAGGTTCCGTAGCGCTGAGTCCTGTGATGGTGCCGTTTCCTTGCTAGTTTTGTGCACTAAGATGTCATATTAATCACCTCCCACGGGTTGCCACAGACTGTAGGCAAGCAATTTATTTCAATACGTAAATGATCTTTCCTTCCTATTCTCTCTTCATCTTGTTTCCCTAGCTCATCGTGGCTCACTTTTCACTCTAAACAGACACTTTCAGCTTCTGGTTTTGCAACCAAGAACATGAGTTTAATCATTTTCTTTTGCAAAGTATCTTTGTGAACTGGAGGAGCCTGTGTGGCTGTTTTCTGCCTTGTTTATTTTTTTGTTGGATGTCCAGATGGTGCCCTTTGTTCCTTGGGAGGGTTCATTTCAGCCCCCAATGCTCTTAAACTATTTGAGGCTTTACTTAAGATGCTATTAATGTTGATAATCACTATTTTTTCTTTTATGCGATTTTTGTCTCTCTGTCTGAAAATCCTGAGGCAATGAGTTGTAGCTTCTCTGCCTGTGTCAGATGACCTGGAGAAATGAAGCAGAAGTGGGACTTTGAAAATACAGGAGCGGGTCCGACCGGTGTTGCCCAGTGGTTGAGCATCGACCTATGAACCAGGAGGTCACAGTTCGAATCCTTGTCAGGGTAGAAGCTTAAACCCCAGTGGGGCGGGGGAGGAGGGTGTACAGGACTCGGGCAATCATTCTCTCATTATCATTGATGTTTCCATCTCTCTTCCTCCCTGAAATCAATAAAAATATTTTTTAAAAAAGGAAAGAAAAGAAAAGAAATACAGGCCCGGCTTCCCTGCCATTTCAAGGAGGTGCCACAAGATGGCAGTGGAGGTAGAACTAAAAGAATCGGTGTCCCTGAAGCCTCTCTTGACAGACGGCCTGTGAGTAGCGGAAGCGGAAGCGGAAGCGGCCACGTGGGACGCTTTACGGTGGCCGAGAGGCTGGCGCGGCTGTGTCTGTAGCAGCATCCCCGAAGAGTGGGGAACCTCGTTTATCTAATCCAGCCCCCGACTCCGGGGAGCTGCCCCGGCAGCCGTCACCATGGTGAAGGAGCAGTTCCGGGAAACGGATGTGGCCAAGAAAATGTAAGATGGAGCAAGACTGGCCACAGGGGGCGAGAGGGGGGCGGAGGGGCCCGAGGTCAGGGGTCCCGGGCCGTCAGGGTGTGAGGTGAGGGCCAGTTGGAAGGGGCGGCTGGGAGGCAGCCGAAGGGCTGGGCAGAGGTCAGAACCCGGCGGGTCAAAGAATCCCGACCCCGAGCGAGCCCTCCGCACCGAGGGGCTGCAGGCCAGGCTGGGCCGGGGCCTGGCGGGAGGGGTGGGGGCCTGAGCGATGCGATCGCACGCCGTGGGCCGAGGCTCGCGTTCTCCGAGGTCAGGCCGTGGTCCCTTGACCCCCGCGACCTTCTCGCCGCGGCAGCGGGCGGAGCCTCTGGGCGGGGACCATTCCGGTCTTGCTGCAGCGCACCGGGCGGGAGGCCCCGTGCCCGGGAGGACAGCCTGTCCGCTAGAGCGCTGCGCCCCGGGATGGGCAGTCTCGGAGAGGGGCTGCTGTCCCGGGCCTGCTCCCCCAGAGCTGCTTTACGAGCCCGCGGCCCCTCTCAGAGCGCCCAGTGGGAAACGACAATCCCTCGTCCTGGCAGCAGGCATCTGCGAGGAAGGCGCTGTGTGCTGGCCCAGCGACGGGCCTTGCGGATCGGCCGAAAATCAAGACCTCACTGCCCGGTGCAGCTGCGGAAGGCAGACGGGGCAGCGGCAAGGGTGGGCACAGGGGCTTCCGGGAGCCCCGAGTGAGAAGGGTTCGGGCAGCAGAAAGCCACCAGGCAGCTTTCTTCCGGGACCGTGGGGAGGGACGGGGGCGATGAGAAGGAAACGTGTGTCCGGAGTCATCTGGCAGGCAGGGAGGGACCTTTGAAGGTTTTCACTGAGCAGCGGAGAGGCTTGATCAGAGTCCTGAAAGGTCTCCTGGTTCAGAGGGACAGGATGAGGGGGGGCCTGGAGGCCTGGGCAGGGATCGGGCAGGGGATGCTGGCCTGCACTGGAGCGGCAGGGCCATTGGAGGGAAGTGGGTTCCAAAGGGGCTTCGGGTCAGGATGAGTAAGGGAGGAATGAGACGCACAGAGTTTCCTGCTTGGGCGGCTGTGTGGATGGTTCCTTTCCCTGGAATGGGAAGGTGCCTCTCTCCCAGTGGGCCCTGGCCTCTCACACCCACCCCAACCCCCGCCTCTACTCACATGTAACCTCTTCTCACGAAGCAACCCAAGTGACTGTGAAGATGCAAATCACATCCCTGACACTTCAGCTTAAAATCTTCTAGCAGCTTCCGTTGCATCAACATTTAAATTCCCTGTCATCGTTCCCGAGCCCTATGTGACCTCTCTGGCCTCATCTTGGGCCGTTAGCTTTCTGTGCTCTAGTACACAGCTTGCATTTGGTTCCTTGAGAATGCCAGGCTGGCCGGGTAGTGGAGTGATTAGAGCAGTGATGGCGAACCTATGACACGCATGTCAGAGGTGACATGTGAACTCATTTTTTTGGTTGATTTTTCTTTGTTAAATGGCATTTATTTTATTTTATTTTTTAAAATATATTTTTATTGATTTTTTTACAGAG